TGCAGTTTTCACCTCCCTGTGCCCCAAGACACAGACAGTCCCACAAGCACCCATGTCATGAGTTTTGCCTGTCAGCAGCCAGAGGTGCAGGACCCCAGAACCCCTGCACCTATCTCCTTGAAAGCTGGCAGGCTTTGTGGCCTCAGCAGGGGCTAGCAGGCCTGCAGTTTTGACCCTGCTGTGGCTTAACACATACACATGACATGAGTTTTGCTTTCAAGAATTTGAGGTGCATTTTCCCTTGAAACTTGGCAGGCTTTGTGCCCTCAGAAGGGGGCTACCAGTCCTGCAAGTTATCCAGATCAGGCTAGAAATGACAAAGTTATAGGCTGTTTCAAGCTTCCCCATTATAGTCTATCGGCGAAACGTCGAAACAACGAAACTGTTTCAACAAAACAAAATGGAACAGCAGTTTTGAATCAAAACGAAATTCGAAATGAAACACTGTTCCATCGAAACATTGAAATGGAATGGTGCCGTTTCGCACAGCCCTAGTACACACCCAGTCTGAGAGCTGTTACAAGACAATGAAACAATGACAACAATTAACATACCAAAAAGGTTGGCTAACCTTAACTGGGAAGAGGGCAATTTCCTAAAGAAAGCAAATGTTAGAAACAGGTGTTACAAAGACGTGCTGTCTGAGCTAGAAAAACCTGTTGAGTGCCAGCCAAACCAGAGTGAATTAAAGGCAAGCTTTTTGGAGAGGCAAGGAGAGAAACTAAGGGCTGAATAGGAGAAGAGGAAGGTTTTAAAAACTGAAATGACTAGCAAGAACTTTGAAACCTCTCAAGAGTGTAAAGGACACTGGGAGGAAGGGTATTTGTATATGGGGGATTTCATGCACACATGAATCTGTAAGTCTCTCAGGCAGTGATTCTCAACCAAAGTGCCACGAGATCCTTGTAAGGATTTCATGAGGTGTGTCACAATATTATGCTCATAGGTATGCAAAAACCTGCGCATACTTAACAATATAAACCCAGAGATTTCAAATAGGAATCCTTAGCATCAAAAACATTCATATCTGTTGTAGTTTTTCTGAGTTATTTGCAACAGTGAGAGCTAAGACCTGGCATTTTCTGATGCCTTGAGTCTAAAAAGGTTGCAAACCACAGCTCTAAGGCTTTCTCTATGAATAAAGTGAGAATGTTCTCCATTATTTTACAAAGTGTTTGGGCTTTTTGCTATAACAGTCACATAACCCATAAGGTTTAAACTGTATACTGGACTTCCTATAACCATGAAGCCCTTAGAAAGGCTATCTTTAAGCTAGTGGGGAAGACTTTAGGATTCAGCATTGTGTCAGCTGGACTGCAGGGTCCCATATCTGAGAAGGGACACTAGATGGGGAGTCTGCACCATAGGTACAAACCTATCAAGCAAGAGACAGTATACAGGAACATTGCTCAGACTCAGCTGGCTTAGAAGCCTGGGGTGTCCTGAACGGAGAGCCCAACAAGGTCTGTGACAATAGTGCTGTGCACAGAAATGATTCTATGGCAGAAGCAAATAATGCCTTTCCTTCACAGAGTGGGTTGATTGCATCTGGAGGTGGGTGGCTTTTCAGCTCTGCACTTGATGTCCTATTTAGTCTAAGCTTTAGATTTGTAACTGCATGATATATACAACATTAAATGAAATCAAACTGAAGAAATGCTTGGAAATTGAAAGGATAGCAAAAAGGCATGTCAATACCATGCAGCTACAATGAATACTTTGTTTTCAACTTTCTTCATGTCCAACTCCAGTCAATCACAGGTACTTTATATACACTGAAGAGAGAGAGATGTCCAGACGTCTAGCCCTGAGAGACTGATTTTATAAGTGTTTAGAGAACACATCTACTGGTTATTGCAGACTGGTATAACATAACCTTTGTTTTCACCTTCTTTCAACTTTCAATAGCAGCTAAAAGCAAACATATAGTTCTTTATGAGCAATTCCCTATAAGAAACTGTAAATGTGTTTCTATTATATGACTGAGGAATGTTTCTACTGTCAGTCTTAGGGTTAGAAACACTTCGTTACTTTTATTTTAAATATTAGTGTTTGAGCTCCAAAATGGAACCAATTCTGGATGAAACTTGATGGTGGCTTTTAACAGTGCCTATAAAGTTTAGGGCAGGATATTCACACAATGTAAATATAAATAGAATTTAGCCAAGATTCAGGGATTAATGCCTCTTTTCATATAGAGGGTGGCACAGGATCTATAAGGACCAGGCTGGGTCGGGACCGTGGTTTGTTCATCTTAGCTTGGAAAGCCCTCTGCCCTCCTATCACCACAGTGGGGCATTAAATCACAACTAACTCAAAGGAAAAACAACAAACCATTCCTTATTGTCTTCTGTAGCATTATTTTGAACTGGTTCCTTGTGAATTGGTGCAGATACATGCAGACACCAAGCATTCTGGGATACTGGTCTGGTCAGTCCTCCAGGTATTCCACTCTGCATTGCACTGCTACCACCTCTGTTAAAACACACGCATGCAACTGGTGTGTCTGGTATGTGGCCAGAGCTTGACTGCCCCCTTTTTTTTCTTCTGTTGGCACTTATCAATGAGTTTTCTTGTGATGCTTGTTCAATACTATTTTAAGAAATGTTTGGACGCTTATCTTGCTGGGATCCTTTGACCCTAGCTGACTTCCTGCCCCTGGGGCAGGGGGCTGAACTCGATGATCTTCTGAGGTCCCTTCCAGACCTAATGTCTATGAAATCTATTAAATAAATCTATCTTTTTAACAACCAGTTGTGTCCTCACTCCCCACTCAACCACAGGCCCTCATTGTGCCATCCCACCCAGCCCTGGGGAAACCAAAAAGCACTCTCTTGCCAAATCACATTTACACTGAAGACTTCAGTCATTTGCAGGCTACTGAAGATTACTGAAATCATATTTAGGAAAGAAGTGAAAGCAGAAAATTGAAAATGCCCCCAGCCACGTTTTCTACCCCCAGCACTTCCAAAGCATGGAAGCAAGCACTCCCACCCCACTTGCCCATTATAAGACATGCTGGACTGGGTGCTCCCTCTCACCCTCTGATGTCAGAGCCACAGAATTTCACAATTGTGAACTGACTCCCAATTGAGGACATTATGGAATGGTCTAATTATGGGTCTGTATCCTCAAATGTGCTTAATGGCAGAGTGCCACTCTGAGGCAGCTACATTGCCTCATTTTTACAGCTTGGTTTGCACAGAGCAAGAAAAAAAGGAATAGCTAGTGCTTCACAGCAGTGATTTGAGGCATGAGATGGATATGATGTAGACATCAAATTTCAGTGATGTGGCAGAGAGTGATGTGGCAATTAGACATTGCAGCAGACTCAAAATTGAAAGACACAAGGAAGAAGGGAAGTTTAATTATAATAGAAGGAACTTTGGTTAGAACCTTTGGCCTAGTTCAGCCTAGGATTTTATCAATTTAGGTAGGTGTACAACAGAGTAACAGGTTACCTCCCATTCCTGACTGGAGTTTCACACCTTCATTGCAGGAGTTCCAGTTTAACTGAAGAAAATGGAAGAGCGAGTGTGTATGGGAGAGCAAGTCTGAATTCTGCTGCTATTCATAGATTCATAGATGTTAGGGGCTGGAAGAGACCTTACAAGATCATTGGGTCCAGCCTCCAGCACTACTCATCCCTGCTCAACCCCCACCATCCCCCTCACATGCCGGGAAGCGCTGGGGCTGCGCTGGGTGGGTGGTGGTGGTGGCAGTGCTGGGAGCGGGGCTACAGGGAGGCTATGGCAAAATTTGGGGTGGCTGCAGCCCCCCTCCCAGTGCTGCTGCTGCCTGCCCTGAGCCCAGCCCCCATCGAGAAGAGCCTGGTGCAGCCCCGGCTCCAGCCCACAGCTGCAGCCTGCCTGCCCCATGCGGATCCGGGTGCACAGACCCTCCCTGTGCCCTCCTGGGGTGTGTGCAGTGGTGGGAGCCGCCCCCCTTCCCCAACAAGCCACAGCTCCATCCCATGCCCTGCCTCACTCTGGCTGGGCAGCATCTGCCACTGCCCCTGCCTCTCCCTCCCTCACCACAGGTAGAAGGTAGAAACTGTTTTGTAGAACAAGTCTCTAAATCTTAGTTTTATCAGATTAATATTTTGGATCAGTTTTTTATAGCCTGGCTTATGGCATGAAGCCCATGCTGCTTTTAATGTTGTAACAGAAGAAAAATCTGTGTGCATTTAACCCTGTGGTTTTTGTCCTGGTTTACAGCACTCCTATTAAAAAAAAGCATGATCGCTTTACACTACCCACATATTTAAAGCAGCTGAGGAACCTCCACTCATTATATTGAAGCAAACTATTTCAAAGTAGTTAAATTTCATCCTTTATAGCTGGACTATAATGAAACTCCTTTAAGATTTTCTAGCTTCCAAACATCCTCAATAAATGGCACTCAAAATCTACATAGCCTCTCTAAAGTTCCTACTGTGATACTTCATTAGATTATGTTACATTTTGACAGTATGGGATAACAATATCCCAATCTGATAACATTTAAAATAACAATATTAACTTTCAGGAGAAGATCTAACATTTTCTTTTAGTTTAAGAACACTGAGAAGCACTTGCTTGGTATGTGCAAACTGAAAGCTTCTAGAATTCTGTCACCTGTAAAGAATTTTTGGGGTGGTATCTTTTATTGGACCTTACATTTGAAAGCTTGTCTAACTTTATACCAACCATGCAGTTGGTTCAATAAAAGATATCATCCCCCAAAATCCTTGCCTCTTCCATAATCGCTGGACCAAGATGGCTATAACATTACTCACATGCTACCTGTTAAAACATGCTTAGGTTTCCAGGTCAATACAAGGTAAAACTAAACAGTATGGAGAATCAACACTTCTTATAACTTTCCTCTTTACATATTTTTGGATGGTTTAAGCTCAATTTGAGTAGTTACTTTTGATTTGCAGACCTTAGTCACACAAGCATTACAACAGAAGTACTGTTCACTGGTAATATTCTTAAGCATTAAATCAGACACGAGCATTTAATGAATATTTTTATTGTGCAAAACAAAAGAGTGAGTTTTATTAGTACAATGACCTGAAAGAACAAGATTTTTTCCATGTTTGACATAAGGTTTTTCTTATTTTACATTGTTAGATGTGGCAATTTAGATAGAACGCCTAATATTAAAAGTGCTAAATGAAAATATTAACATGTTCTACCTTTTACTAGCTGGAACAAAAAGCTGTATTTTAATGTCAACTTTTTGTATGTAACTGCAAATATTCCACCAAGCCAATTAATGCAAATTGAACAGCAACAATAATAGGAAACAGGAAAAAAACTATTTATTAATCAACAAGAAATTCATTAACCTATCAATTATGCTGCCATTTCACTTACAATCTACATATAAAATAGCTGATGTTCTTAATCTCCAAATGAACTTCAAGTTTTAGAAGACTGATTTTTGTTTTAAAAATCCAATATTTTCTAATTAACAATGCAATTGAATTTGCTATTTTGATAAAAAATATTTAGATTGTTAGTTATTATTAAGTGCCACAAGGACTGGTTGATGTTTTCATAGCACCACGGAAGCAGCATTTCTTTGAGGAGAGATTATATTCAACTGGAACACAGTGTGAACGACATGGATAGCCATGATTTCTTTTTAAACCTTTAGAAGGTGCTAATATTAGGTCATATCCTTTTTTATATAAAAGTATTGAGATACTTTCAGTAGTCATCCTAACATTCAAAAACAAACCAATAAAATCTCATGTAAACTTTTTTCTTTTTTTAAATAAAAGCACATAATTTGACATAAAGTGACAAAGTACTTTGTTTAATGCATCTTACTAAGCACCTGAAAAATTAATATCAAACTAGATTTTTATAAAGAACCAGAGACTACTAGCTCTGATTGTGAAATACTGAATTAAAACTAGGTATTTATATAAAGAATTTCCAAAGTATGGAGATATCGTGTTCTAGTGGTAATCTTTAGTCCAGTAAAACCCCTTTTTATAAAAGATGCTACGCATTAACTGAGACACAATAGTCTAATGCATTTCCCAATTAGCTTCAATACTCCAAAATATGCATTGGCCAAAACAAATAGTAGTAGGCTTAATATCTAAAGAAAACAAGAGAATAAGCTCATTATTCAGAGGAATTTCCTGCTATTGATCAAATTTGCTAATTTATCTATCTAAAAATCAAGAGATTCAGGACAGCAACAGATCTTGCAATGATTATACCAACATAAAAACAGGTTCTGTTAGCTAATAGGTCAATTCTATATTTCAAATTATTGAATTCTACAGATTAAATCTATTTATGGAAGCACGCATGTCAGAAATGTTCCTCTGTAACTAACTGGGCTTTCTAGGATGTCAGACGCATGGAAGAAAAGGTTCTGAGATGAATGTACTAAAACCCAAGAAAAGAAATATTTCCCTCCTATAAAGCCTTTCTTCCTTAAACACCAAATATACCTTATTCCCAGTGGTAAATAGTGCTCGCTATTTTGGCTCTGGCCTGCCTCAGAAGCCTACTTTGTAAGTTGTTATCACAAAATACAAGCTACGTAAATATTGTATGTGAAGTCTCAGGATCCAAATGAAAATTTAACACTCATTTCAAATGTTTACTTTGAATGGAAATATGAATGTTTATACATGTGTGTAAAGTAACCAAGTTGCATCTTTATACCAGTAGATTGTTTCTTATATAATGGCTGAATAGAGAAATACTTATCATAGGTGTTGAGTGCAAAATTTAATTTGTTAGTATTCAAAATGTTGTGAAGTTCAAACATAATTTTTTAAAAATCCAATTTAAAAACAAGGTATTTATATTTTCACATTAGACAGGCCAATATTCTCTCTAGACATAGAAAGCAAATTCCTGAATCAAACTGTACAAGGTTTTAGTTTAAAATACTCTTTACCCTAATCAAAAGGCACAAAGTGGTTTAAATGTGCAAGTGATTTCTTGGAAGAAACAGTGCAAAATTGAGCCTGCCTCACTACCTCTGCATTCCTTAGTTTTCGTAATATTCTACAAAGTATTGCTATGATACTTTTTCTATGACAAGAACTTCAACAGAAGAATCCCAGTCAGTCCACTGAATCACAGATCTCTTTTACTTTCTGATTGAAGTCTTCAGGTTGATCAGCATATACATAATGACCAGCTCCAAGGATAGCCTGTAAGTGAAAGTGGAGAAAGAGGGGTCAAAAACACAAGAACATCACAATGCTTAGTATCTGTTGAGATATGAAAAACATACCTTATCAAGACACCAACAAAACCTTTTTATGTACAAACACTAATATGACACAAACTAATTCTGGACAGGAAAAGACTGCCTGATTCTGGTCAGCAACTTTCCTTCAGTCACCCTGAACAAAATTACTGTCAGGTCAATGATTTCTCTGAATGGGAGCTTTCAGTTTGTCACCTAAATAAGACACTTAATTTGCATGTGTGCTGAGGTCAGTGTTAGATGGTCAGCGCTTCTGAATGCATCTTAAATGCCCCCCACCCCAACTTATTCAGATGTTAAATGTGGACAGAGAAGCACAAATTTAGGTTATTTAAAAAAAATACTGGCTCCAGCAACTGTACACTACGATTACTAATACTAAAATTAACCATTGTTAGAAGGTGCTTTGGACAAAAACAGGCATTAGTTGATTATACTCATTCTATGACAATAGTTTCCAGTGGAAGGAGGTGTAAAACAACTAAAAAGAGGTGTAAATGCAAGGAAAAATAAAGGGAAGTTTCTGCCTTTTGTCAAGTCACCATTATTACATAGAATTAAGCAGGAAAGGGTAAAACTAACCTTGATTCAAGAACCTGCTATATTTCCTGCTTTAATGGAGGTGAACCACTGAAAAACAAACTTAAAAGATTGTGCTCAAGGCTAAGTACATGAAGTCAAAAAGTCCAACGCTGAATCAATTCAATCTTCACAGGTTAGTTTAAGCTGTGTAGATTGAACCAATAAGCAAGTAAAGAGACATTCATTTTTGATTCTGGAAATGCAGCCACATGCCTGCAGTGGCTCTGGCCAGATGCCGGGTAGCGCTAGTGCATGCCTCCCTTCTCGACCGGAGTAGACAGCTTGGGCCAAGGCTAGCTTGCCCACGCTGCACAGGGGGTGGGGGGTTGCAGGGGAGGTACAAAGCATCCTGGGATACTGGGGGACTGTGAGTTAACTTGAATCTGGAGGGGATCTGGGACAGAAGTTCAGTAAACCTATTTAACCTAAATCAGTAAAAGTCTGATACTACATCCATCCAGGTTTATCTTAAACTGGTTTTGACCATTTTGAAAGCAGCTTATGTGCACTGAACTTCTATGGTATTACAGATTTGAACTGGTTTCTGATCACTTACATTGGCTTATGTACAATTTCTATCCCTTGCCCTTATGGTTATACCCAACCCACACATTTCTCTCTTCCCAAGCCCCCCAAAATCCAGATCAGTGGGGGCTGACATTTTTGGCAGGCGTGCCACAAATTAAGCCCTGCACTCTCCAAGTGCCACTCAGATCCCCTTCCCCTACCTGATCTTTGTGTTCCCTGGCCCCTCCCAGATCTGGCGCACATGCCACAGACTGGCCGTCCCCAAACCAAATAATACTTCTTTGTTTCTAGAAGTGTTTAAATGAAAGAATGTCTGAATGTTTTTCCATCTCTTAGAGAAAACATTTTGATTCAAGATTAATAAGTGAAAACTCAAACTGCTGAGGATTTTCTCAACAGCAGCACCAGTTTATTGGTATTTCATTCCTCAAATTTAACTGCTGTGCTCATCAGGAAAGAGGCAAATTCTGGAGGAAAACAAAAAAAAAACACTTTTGAGCCCCAGCCTGAATACATTATTTCAGTATAAACATGTAAGTAACTAAGGGCCACTGCACCCACACCTAATATTCCTGTAATTCAGCTATCCCCAGGCCCAAGCTAGTACTAAAATGTCAATTTTATAATACTGTATAAGAGCAGCACATTTACTCTTTGTTTTATACTCAAGCCAGAGTTCACTTACACTTCAGTGAACAGACCCATGACCAGCACCTACTCCACCCCCTTCCTTTCTGCTCCTTCTGCCCCTCCCATACTCCTCCCCGTGCTGCAAGACTGCAGGGCTTCCCATGCACTTTTCTCTGCTTGCCGGTGAGTTTGGTTTGTTTGTTGTTTGGGTTTTTTTTGCAGCAAACCTGCCAAAAGTGCAGAGCCTGCCACTTGGGGATGGCCTGAATCCACGGCTTAATTAACCTGATCAAGCCTGGGGAAGCCATTAATCCAAGCTTAATAACACATGGATTAGTGGCTTCCCCAGGGCTTAATCAGGGTAATTAAGCCACGGTTTCATGCCATGTGGCAATCCGTGGGGAGGGGTGGGACTGCTGGGGCCCCTCAGCCAGAGGCGTGGGGGGCCTCCGCCACAGTCAGCTTGTGAAAATTGTGGCCTGTACCAGGATCTGCCTGTAAAATTGGCTGGCTGTCTCCTCGAGTTCAGTAGACCTTTACCTATGGATGCCTTTCAGCATCCCCATATTTTTCCCTATATCCCATTACTCTTTTATAATCTTCCTCTGACTGACAAAATGCTCATTTGAATTAGCACAGGACATCAGCTCATACCAGACTGGTAAGACCTGTCCCAATGACTCATGCTTATCCTACTCTTTACTCCTCCCTGCCCAGAAATAATTTTGTTATACTATGTCTGTTTGTTAAAAGCAATAGGCACATTCATGTTCAGATACTGCAGCTACTGTGTGACATTGTGGGTGTACCTAAAAGTGCTATTAATGCGCCTGAGACACCTACACAGTGTTTACACATGCACTTGGGGACTGCAGCATGCTGAGCTGGGGCAGAGCTACCCTGGCTGGCAGGGGACCCAGGGGCGTCAGCCTGCCAGCCCAAAGCTGCTCTGCCTCAGCTCAATGTACTGTGGAGGCAGCAAGCAGCTCTGCACTGCAAAACCAGCAAACAGCTCTGCACTATAGCTTCTTCATGCCCCAACCAGCTCCAGTCACCGTCTACCTGTGCATTTTGGCACGCTAAATAACCCCACCATAGAACAGTATTTGTCTCGGACAGTAATATCCTACAGTACAAATTCTTGAAAGCAAAACTCATGTCACGTCTAGGCGTTACAACATAGAGGGGTGAAAACTACAGGGATGGTAGCTGTTACTGAGGCCACAAAGCCTGCCATGTTTCAAGAAGATTGGTGCAGGGGTTTGGGGGCAACTGTACCCCAAATTCTTGAAAGCAAAACTCCTGTCACGTCTATGTGTTACAACACAGGAGGGTTAAAACTGCAGGGCTGGTAGCTCTTACCGAGGCCACAAAGCCTGCCAAGTTATAGGTGCAGGGGTTTGGGGGGAACTGCCCCTCAAGCTGCAGACAAGCAAAACTGGTGCCATGGATACCTGTGGGACTGACTATGTCTGTCTTGGGGCGGGGAGGGGAGATACTATTGCAGGCCTGGCTGCTAAGCTATTGTGTTACAAGTTACCAATCAATCAATCATGATTCACTCAGGGACCAGCTCAATACACAGGACCTAGCTACTACATAATGACTTAATGAGCATAAATTAGCAGCTACAAAACCAGGCTAAGGAGAGGAAAGACTCAATACAGACAATCAACTACCCCAAGACTGTCTGTCTTGGCACAAGTTTTGCTTGTCAGCAGCTAAGGGTGCAGGGCCCCAGAACCCCCCTGCACCAATCTCCTCGGCAGCTAGCAGGCATCATGGCCGCAGCAGGGGCCACCATCCCTGCAGCTGTCACCCCGCTGTGCTTTAACACACGTAGTGTCACCCATGGCATGAGTTTTGCTTGTCCACAGCTTGAGGGGCAGTTCCCCGCAAACCTCTGCACCGATCTTCTTGAAACTTGGCACGTTTTGTGGCCTCAGTAAGAGCTACCATTCCTGCAGTTTTGACCCCCCTGTAGTGTAACACAGCCGTGACAGGAGTTGGGCTTTCAAGAATTTGGGATAGTTCCCCTCAAATCCCTGCACCGATCTTCTTGAAACTTGGCAGGTTTCATGCTCTCAACAGAGGCTACCATCCCTGCAAGTTTCATCCAAATTGGACAAAAACAACAAACTTATAGATATTTCATTGATTCCCCATTATACCCTATAGCCGGATCTCTGAGGCGGCTCCGAAGCTTCGGAGCTGCTTCAGCCAGATCGAGGCGGAAACCCGGTCCGAAGCTCTGGATTGGATCACGGCCATCCAAAGTGGCCAGATCCGAAGCCAGATCAGATCGCTGCCGACTCGCACAGGCCTAGCAAATAATACTCTGGTGTGCACCAATCAATGCATCTCCAGCAAGACCAGGGAGGTGATTCTTTCACTTTACTCGGCACTAGTGAGACCCCAACTGGAGTACTGTGTCCAGTTCTGGGCACCACACTTTAACAAGGACGTGATACAACTTGAGAGAGTCCAGAGAAGGGCCACCCATACAATTAGAGGCTTGCACTGCAAGCCATACGAGGAAATATGGAGGGGCCTGCGAGACTTCAGCCTGAAAAGGAGAAGGCTGAGAGAGGACTTGGTAGCAGTTTACTGCTACGTCAGGGGAGTACGTCAGGGGCTCAGTGAACAACTGTTCACCAGGGCACCCTTGGGGAGAACCAGGAGTAATGGCCACAAACTCCTGGAAGATGATTTTAGGCTCAACATTAGGAAAACCTTCTTCACAGTCAGGGTGTCCAGACTGTGGAACAGGCTCCCTCCAGAAGTGGTGCAATCACCTACCCTGGAAATCTTCAAGAGGAGACTGGATAGTCACCTTGCTGGGGTCACCTGACCCCACCTGTCTTTTCCTGGCTCTTGCAGGGAGCTGGACCTGATGATCTTCTGAGGTCCCTTCCAGCCTTACAATCTATGAATCTATGAAAGGTAAGATTGCATATTTCTACAATGATGCAAATGAGAGCACTTCTAAAAAAATTTCAGCAGCAAATGCATTTACTATTTTCTCAATAAAAATAAATGAGACAAAAATGATTGGAACAGTTTGTCATGTGGAAGCCTCCCTGACTAAGTTATATGTAAATTTAGACATTTAGGCTATGATTTCTGTTGGTTGTGTTTTAAAAATACAAACACGCTGCACTAGAATCATGTACAGTTAACATTTTTTGCAGAATGGAAGACAGCCTTATGAATAACAAACTACCCTAAGTGACTCGCCCAAAGTCAAAAGCAACATCTGTCCACTGCTACTAGAGCTGCTCTCAGGCCCACTCTCACCTCCACAGCATCCACATTACAAACCTCTAAGTTTCCCTTAGCATCAATCCAGCTCACCTCCAAAAGTGCTCCTGAATATCATGACTCAAGACTAAGCTTCTGTCCAGCCCCATCCCACAGTGCATTTGCAACTGATCTGGGCCATGCATGGTATAGCACAGGAAACTTGCCACCAGCACTTCTGCTCCCCACACCCTGTCTGTACAGGCCATTAATAGAATCAAATTAATAGTCAAAGATACAATTTTTGGGCATGATTTCTAGAAAGGCCCAATCTGCATTTCCTGTTCCTGTGTCTAGGAATAAGTTGTCTACTACTTGTCCCACCTTCTGTGCTTTCTATAGGCAAGCTGAAGTTATGGTTATGTAGACAGAAAGGGCTTACTCATGTGACTCAGGACAGACATACTCTTACCTTCCCATACCTCATACCTTCCCACGTTTAAAAAAGACTGAGATAACACTTATTTTTTTCAATACCAGAAATAAGATCAGACTCCCTTATCCAGTTTAAACCACATCACCATCAACTCAGGGGTGGCATCAAAAAAGGGACAAATTGGACAAAATCTAAACAAATACACAAAGATAAACCAAATGGCAAAATAATAAATCACTTACTATTGTCTTCACATATGACTTTGGTCGTAGAGACTGGATGGTGCTACCAGAATTGCCATCTATACAAGATCGTGCTCCATAAATCACAGTGATAGGAATATCTTGATCCATGAGAGAAATCCGCTGTAGCATTGGCCTTTTTGCCCATCCATAAGGTATAGTCATGTTCTTGAAAGCAGTTTCACCGCTTATGGTTAATAATGGAAAAAATTAAACACAACGCAAAAATATTCTCCTCCATTGAAACCTCGTATTTTCCCCACCACTATCAACCATACCTTGTATTAAAATGAAACTGGAATTTCTATGCTACATAATATTTTGCAATGCATAGATACAGAAGGGCAGGATTTTTGAGCCAGTTTGAATGCAAGAAATTTGTTTTTGTAACTTGCTTTCATTTTTTTAGATTAAAAAAGAGAAGATTTCTACAGCGCTGATTTGATTATTAAACTATGAAATAAAAGATTCTATAAGTGTCATTAGAATGCATTTACAAGTAGGCTATAACAATGTCTTTTGGACTTAAACTTAGTTCCCAAATTTAATAAGAAAAATACCAAGTTTTCCGGTTTACCAGGATGTCAAACTAAGGAGCATCTCATATGAGGAAGTTGTCAGGAAAATAACTAAAATTATTGTAATAAAATGTTGACCAATTTTCAAATTACAATAGAGGGTATTTTTTTCCCTGAAATTTTATTCCATTTGTGGGAGTATGCACTACACACAGGTGTGACTTATACACTGGAAATCACAGAATCATAGAAAATTAGGATTCGAATGGACCTCAGGAGGTCATCTAGTCCAGTGCTTTTCAACTGTTGTGCCACAAAGAGCTACCTGGTGTGCCATGAGAATTTTGGAATAATGAAAAAAAGTTCTCCAGCTGCCTAGTACTAATGAATAAGCTGTCAATGAGATATTCACAGGAGACTCGCACATGGGTTGGCTGTGGGGGGAGAAAGAACCAGCAGAGGAAAAGGAAATTCATCTACTGTGCATGTGTTGACTGTGGTAGATGTGCAGTTCATGAGCCTCTGAACAGCTGTGCATCAGAATTTTGCCATGGCAATGAGCTACAATGAGCTCTCAAGTATGGGGATGGAGAATGCTTTAACAGGCATGCTATGGAAATTTTTATTAATGTAAGTGTGCCTTAGGCTGGAAAAGGTTGGGAAACACCAATGTAGTCCAACCCCGTTTAAAGCAGGACCATTCCCAACTATATCATCCCAGTAAAGGCTTTGTCTAGCTGGGTCTTAAAATCCTCCAAGGATGGAGATTCTGCAATCTTTAACTACAGAGTAACTTGTAGTTAAATATGGATGTTCAGATGAGAGAGACACGGTAAAGTTCAATGAACCTTAAAAGAGGATTATTCTTCATTTATCTCTTTGCAAAATTCAGGAAAGTTAATACCATTTTTCTTTTTTTAATGAACACCCCAAATATCAGCCTAACATACAGCCTGACCACAACATGTCAATATGCATGTATTCCTAGACGCACAAGGAGTGATAAAAATGGCAGAATTTTTTTCAGACAAACTTTGGCCAGCTAATAATTCTCACCTGGGTGACTGTACATTGCAGTGATAGATATATTCAGCCACAGTGTTATCATCAAACATAGAAGAATACTTTCGCTTGAAGTCTGGTCTTAAACGCTGTACAAGGCTTAAACCTGTTTTAAAAAAAGGGCATGAACAATTTTTTTTTAAAAGTAACTAAAATTTCCCTTCCTACCACTTTCATTCTTTATGACAATTCTGGCATTATGCCAAAATTAGAACTAAACACAAGCATGAACCAAACATAGGAAGAAGTACTCACTGGTCTAAGACCAACAGCAACACCACCACACGTTATCTAGGGAGTGCCTGAGTGCTGCCAGAACAATTATAGCAGAAAGCAAGCATGGAGGGCAAGGTAAAAGAGTTTGGTTAGATACCTCTCCCCTCAGCCACCTCTCCCAACCCAGCACATGACCCTAACATCCACCTTCCACCCTAGAAGAATGAGTTGGGGCAGATGCACCCCAACCTTTGGAGGAGATCAACGGAAAAACCAAACCAGGTTCCTTTTGATGATGCCCTGATCTCTGCACCTGTAGAAAAGAATGCAAGATTCACAGGGCCAAAAAAGACAGTAGGTAAGAGAAAGCCTGATTCTGTCAATCCAGTAATGAAAGCACTCCTCCTAGGAAGAGAGAGACCTGGATTCCAGTCACTGCTCTAGGGACTCCTCATGTACTTTTCATTAAAAGTCATTCAATAAAATGCATAAACTGCCCTGGGAACAGGGACCAGAATTCAGGACCTCCCAGGAAGCCCTCTCATCATGAAGCTACAAAATCATGCACTCTCTCTGCCTGAAGTTATGAATCTTACATTCTTTGCTCACAATGACAGTTCTGTTCCACACACGGAAACAGAACTTTAGATGTCTCAGGGACTTTACTTATAAAAACTAGAGGGGCTAGGAACTTTTTAGCCCCTAAACAGTTAAGTAGGACTTTTTTTTTTTTGGTAGATTGCACTTTGTAGATTTCTGTTAATTTTTGCTTAAGTCACAGTTCAGATTCTAGAGTGCTTTTTGGGATTGACCATAAATCTAAAAAAAAAAATAAAAAAATCAAGATATGGAGTTTCTACCTCATAGATGGACTGAATTATTGTCTCCTGAACACAAAAACAGACCACTATCTACAAGATGTTCAGAGATAAAATAAACTTTTCTCCCTGTTTTATTTTATTTAGTTATTACAAATAAGAAGACAGCTGTTCATGGAGATTCACAACAGATTTTTTTTTTTACATCTGTGAGACATGACTGCACAAGTTTCATGTCAGAGTAGTTCTTCTTTAGCCCAGCAAGACGTTTTAAATGAGAAATTTTACATCCAACCAAAAATAAGAAACACTGAACTGAATTAAAGTTAGTGTGTTATGTGTCTGAGTTAATTTCTGATAATCTCTTTGATAATTAAGATGCCCTGTTAACTAAATTAGAACAGATTTAACTCCGAAGAATAATTTTGTGTTTGGTGCAGTAACATAAATTGCTATGTCCAAAATCTAATTAGTTTAGTCATGCTTAAACCCCCCCCCACCCCCCCAAGAACATATTTTTCATGTCTACGTTCCAAAAAATACATAGTTAAGTAACACAGGTCGTTTAAATGCAAATGAAAGCTTAAATTCCCACTAAGCTTTAATACCCAGTTAAAAGACCATGATAGAGTGATGGTAGCTTGAGAAGTGATAACCCAAAAACTATTTTTAAGTAGGGAACATCTTAATAAAATATTTCCCTTATATTAATTTTTAAAGTATCAAAAGTAGTACTTTAAAAATATTAACACTCACCAAAGGGTCCTGCTAACCGGAGCCCAGCTAATGGATTGAATGGACTCAGCATAGCTCCTAGTGCTTTGATCCAGATTGGAATTGGTCTCTCTTGTTCATTGTCCGGCCTCTCTGGAAAACCCCACGGCTCCACTAGGATAAGGTGTTTTACCCTGATGGCAAAAGAGGTTCTGAAGTTTAGTGCAAGTGAAACCGACCTTGCATAACTAATTATTGAGAATGATCAAGTCTTAGTATCTGCAGACGATGCAACATATGCTATTCATCATCATCTTCATTTCCTATGGCTTAGCTTTTGATTCCTCAATGATTGGCATCAGAAAACAAACAAACAAACAGACAAATAAATAAAAAGAGAAAAGCAGCAACAGATGTTTTCAGTATTCTGTCTACAAGCATTCTATTCATCTTTACTAGCTGCATGTAGACATAAACCAGAGCCATAGAACTGGTTCCAAAAGAATACCAATGCTAGAACAACAAAGAAGGTTCATGTGAATATATGCAGGTCTTTTCAACTGCATTCTTTCACACAAAGAGCATGTGTGGTTCTCTGCAATTTCAACCTGTACAACTTGCCTAGCAATGCTCTACAATTAAAATAATGCTCTGGTCATTCTGGAAAAAGAAATGCACACCAATAATTAAGAATAAACAATTACAGCAAAATCGGCCGATCACCAAGCCCCCTACATGTTGCCAAAGGTTAGGCATGATAAACATTCCTGGCTGGGCCGCTCAGGAGGGGGAAGGAATAAACAGAATATCCTGCTGGGGTCGGCCACACGTCCCCTAAGCTCAGCACTATAGATGAGAGGGAGGGCTGCTCTAGCGCCCCTGCGGCTTCTAGCCTGAGCCACTGCAAGCATGTGCCTGAATTTTTTCAGTCCAGAGGGGATGTCTGTGCAGTTACAAAGTGATTCAGTCTAGCCAGGTTAGACTAATCTGCAAAGATTGAATCAATTCAGGCTCAGGCTTTTTGAATATCTGTCCCTAGCCCATATGGCTTCAGCAACTTGACTTCTTTTTCTTTTGGCTGTGTCCCCCTCTTTTAAGCAAGAACAAAGACACTAAATTTAGATATGTTGACTGTGTTCAAAAAGGATTCCAGAGGAGATTGGAAAGCTGAATCTGGCTATCAGGTGTAAAAAACAAAACATAACATAACAAAAAAACCACCCCCAGATTTGGAACACAATGATATTTCTTAGCTGTTAGTTCAAACATGATCATACTTGCAAGCGATATAAAACTAGAGAAGTGAGACAGTGCAGTTCAAAATTTAAGCAATGGGGGCCATGAATGTGGTACTAATAAAGAAATCGGTGTCCTACAGCCAAGAGGAAAAACAGTATCTCTAAAAAGCTGTATATAACCAAAACAGCAAAGAACACCAGAGTAAAGGATACTTATTTTTCTTTTGTTTCTTAATGCTACCCTTCCTTGGCTATTCCTTTTTTAAAACTAAGCACTAGAGACACCTAAGAGAACATGACTGATAAGAAATTGGTATTTTAAGAAGGGGTTCAACATTATGTGTAATGCTGAGAATCTCGATCCTTAAGAAGTCTTTGGATTAAGGCCATGGGCTCAGACATTACTATGTCCCATGCACTTTGCTGGCACCATGTAGTAAATTTACAACGCAGCCAAAAACAGATCTACATTCATAGCAATTCTTACATTTCTAACATATTCTCAGCTAAGTTTGTTGATAGTTCTCTTTTTATTCACCTGATCCTATATGCTCTTAAAATCTTCCTGCTGGTTGTTCTGATTTGACATTGGGTCCTGGATTTTATGTGAAGAAAGAAATAAGGTTTGGGATCAGAGCACACAAACTAAACAAACAAATCCCAGTTGAAGGGAGGCCTGAAAATAAAGAATTTCACCTTCAATCTAAATCAAAGAAACAAAAGAACTGCAAGGGAGATCTGTGTTCCATCCTGTTACAGTCTCCTATTTCCAACAATAATCTTTAGAAGATGCTTCAGAGAATAATTATGGAATAACATGCTCCTATGAATTCTTCCCAACTTGGTGAGTTAAAGGTACATCTTTATACTTCAGCACATAAACCAGTATCCCTTCTAAACCAGAACCCTGTATCTCAGTTTCCTGAACGTTGGCTTCTTTATGTGTTATTACATATGAAAAGAAGAAGCCGAAGCATTGTAGGAGAGGCGGAGACCATGTATTACAAACTGTCTGAATTTGTATAATGCAGAAAGAGAAAAATAATATACATTACATGGAATAGAGTGAAATAGCAAGGAAAGTATATCAGTGCTTCTCTACTACCTAAGGTAATGATGTCAGTTTTCCTCTTTGGAGGAACACTTGCCAAGAGATTTAGAAACCAGAGTTTTATTCATTCATTTTAATCTATCTAAATAAAAAGGAAGAAGAAAAATTGTATTAGAAAACTGAAAAATCTAAAAATGTAATTTCAGAGATTGGTGTTTCCTTGGGTTGAAGTGGGGAAGAAGAGAGAAGTGTGTTTAATAGGGAAATAACTTTATAAACAACTCCTTTGGCTTTCCTTACAGATCAAGCACAAGCCCACTTGAGAAGCATATCCCAATTAAACCAACACTCATCCTTGACAATGAAAGATTGTGGTTGGTAGGACATGCATCCCCTAAGTGGTGCTATGTGAAGGCTACAGCAAAAAAAGTATGGATCAGTCAAAAAACACCCAAAACCCCCCAAAAACAAGCCCTAACTGTGAAGCATTTTCTGTCTGATTAGTGGCAACAGATCAAGCTACAGCACTGCCAAAGACAATTGGTTTTCCAACAAAGAAATTTAAAAAGTGGTATATTTAAGACTTGAGTCAAACAGTTGCTAAAACTATTTTCTGACCATTGTAGTAGCCCTGGCTGACTTCCAGCCTACGGACACAAATTAACTAGGAGGATTGATTTCAGAAGTGGACCTTGAACTAATGAAAGTTCAATATTATAATGGCAAATATAATGCTTTTCCTTGATATTTATTCACAAGGACATATCAGTTAATTGTGGGACAGGGCCCATTGTTTTGTTACCAGAACCATGACTTGATCCCCGACTTTGGCCTCTTAAGTGTTACTGCAACGCAAATAAAGAACAATTACTCCAGCACACACGTTTTCTGAACAAGTGCCTCTGAATGAATTAGCTGGTATATGGTTTATGACCAGGTTACAAAACACCTGGACGCAGGAGTAGGGGTTGACATCGTTTACTTAGACTTCAGGAAGGCCTTCGATACGGTATCCCACACCATACTGGTGAACAAGTGAAGAGGCTGTGACTTGGATGACTACACAGTCCGGTGGGTGGCAAATTGGCTAGAGGGTCATACCCAGAGAGTCGTAGTGGGTGAGTCGGTATCGACCTGGAAGGGTGTGGGCAGTGGGGTCCTGCAGGGCTCAGTCCTTGGACCGATACTCTTCAATGTCTTCATCAGCGACTTGGACGAGGGAGTGAAGTGTACTCTGTCCAAGTTTGCGGATGACACAAAACTGTGGGGAGAAGTGGACACACCAGAGGGCAGGAAACAACTACAAGCAGACCTGGACAGGTTGGACAAGTGGGCACAAAACAACAGAATGCAATTCAACAAGGAGAAATGCAAAGCGCTGCACCTAGGGAGGAAAAATGTCCAGCATACCTACTGCCTAGGAAATGACCTGCTTGGTGGCACAGAAGCGGAAAGGGATCTTGGGGTCCTAGTGGACTCCAAGATGAACATGAATCGTCAGTGTGACAAAGTCATCAGAAAAGCTAATGGCACTTTATCGTGCATCAGCAGATGCATGACGAACAGAACCAAGGAGGTGATAATTCCCCTCTATCGGGCGGTGGTCAGAC